CTTTATCGACGGATTTTTTATCGACGGTTTCGATTATCGACGGATTATTTAGACGGATTTTTATTTTGGCTTTATTTGAACTCTGCGGGCCTTGTTTGTACTTTCGCCGCTAAGCGGCACTAGTGGCGTGACTAGCGTCTACCCGCGGCCCGCCTTCCCTGAACACAGACATCAGCCAAGCCGCGTGGGCAACAGTCTTTGATTTTCAACTTTTGCTGGTGGTTCATCACATCAACTTATATCACCATGCCTCCCAAACGACCTGCTGCTCCCTATGGATCTAAACCTAAGAGGGCAAGACGAGTGCTGACGCTGAATGAGAAGAATGAAGTGCTGAAACAACTCGACAGCGGTATGAGCTACGCAACAGGAGGCAGAAGCTGCCGACACCTCACAACAACAAGACGTAGAAGCTGCCGGCACCTCACAACAACAAGACGCAGTACCTGCCCACACCCCTCAAGAAGATGCAGACCTTGACTCATCATACTCATCTGACTGGTCAGGCTTTTAATAAGCCTCAATCATCACACTTGTATATACTGTACACTGTATTGTTTACTGTAAGGACCGATGTTCACTTCAATAAATGAAATCGTAAGTTTGCTAGTATTTTTGTCCACTTATTATATTATTATTTATACACTATTATTTAAGGTTATGTGTAAAGGAAACGCATTAATGCTTAAAGGTACATTTACATAAGAACATAAGAAAGTGGGATACTGCAGGAGGCCGACTGGCCCATACAGGGCAGATCCCTTTCACACCCATCCCAGCACTTCCATGTGCCTATCCAACTTCGTCTTGAAGCTCCCTAGCGTCCCCGATCCTACTATAGCACACGGTAGCCTATTCCACATATCCACAACTCTATTACCAAACCAGTGCTTGCCTATATCCTTTCTGAATCGGAATTTATCTAATTTAAAGCCATTTGTTCTAGTTATTTCGTTATTACTGAGCTTCAGGAACATCTTCCATTTTACCCTTGTTAATCCACTTACCCACTTGTACACCTTATCATATCTCCCTAACTCTACGCCTCTCTAATGAATGTAGCCTAAGCTTTTCAGTCTTTCTTCATATGGAAGGTTTCTAATATTATGGATCATTTTTGTCATTCTTCTTTGTACTCTCTCAAAGAATCTATGTCCATTCTATAATAAGGAACCAGAACTGAACCGCATAATCCATGTGTGGCCTCACTAATGCTAGGTAAAGTTTCAAGATAACGTCCAGCAGTTCTGTTACTCACAGACCTAGATATGAACCCAAGAATCCTGTTTGCCTTGTTGCGACGCTAATACATTGTTTTCTAGGTTTCAAGTCGTTGCTAACAAATACACCTAGATCTTTTTCACAAAACGAGTTTTCTATTTCCGTGTTACCTAGTTTATACTTGACGTTTGTATTCGTCTTCCCTATCTGTAGTACCTTGCATTTATCAGTATTAAAATTCATTTGCCAGTCTACTGACCACTCATGTAAGGTATCTAGATCTCTTTGAAGGTGTTCAAAGTCACTGTCTGAATTTATCACTCTCCCCATTTTGGTATCATCTGCAAATTTACTAATCCTACTAGTTATGCCTAAATCAAGATCGTTTATGAATATAACAAACAGCAGAGGGCCTAATACAGATCCCTGGGGAACTCCACTTTTGACCGCACCCCAGTCTGACTTTAATCCATTTATGCTGACTCTTTGTTTCCTACCAGTTAACCATGACCTAATCCATTTTAATAATGATCCACCTATTCCATGTGCTTCTACCTTCCTTATCAATCTCTCATGAGGGACTCTATCGAATGCTTTACTGAAATCTAAATAAATTATATCATATGACTTATCATTATCTACCGCTTCATATACTTCTGAGAAAAAGCTAAGCAAATTTGTGAGACAAGAACGTCCCTGGGTGAACCCGTACTGAGAAGAATGAATTAAGTTGAATGTTTCAAGGTGGCTTCTGATTTTTGTAGCAATAATTGATTTCTAGCAACTTGCCTATGATTGACGGTGGAGACTGTCGGTATGATTGACGTGAGTTAGAAAAATTACGTACCATCACGGGTATCGACGGTTTCTTTATCGGTCGTCAGTCTACAGAACGAACCCCGCCGATAAAGAGGAGTACTGTACATGTATTCATTTCGCCGAAATCGCTTATTTTTTTTTTTTTTTTTTTTATATATATACACCTACCGACCACCCAACAATCTTAGTGGAAAAAGTTTTTTTCTCAAGTAAATCACATACATAGTAAATCACATAAATAAATACCAACCAACCAACAAAACCAGACCTAAACTAACCTGACCTGACCTAACCTAACCTTTGTTCACTCCCCTACATCTTACTTTAATCTAAAGAAGAATCAGGTTGGACAAGTAACATTGTTCGGTAATACACTGTGTTTTCTAAAAAAAGAAATTTCCTCACTATTTTTGTGATGAAACTCGGCAATTGACGTAAAATAATCTTTACCACAATGTCAGCACAGCACTTCGCTCCTGAAGAAACCACACATTGTTCATTGGTCAAGACAAAAACTCTCGGCCAATAATAAGTCTCCTATTGCTATAGCCAATAAGAAACTCCCACCCCACTCCCAGCACATGCAATGTAGACTCTTATGAAGCAAAGACGGGGAAGAAGCACTGCATGATGGGGGGTCAGACCTTCTCTGCCAAAAGTAAACAAGACATGGCAACACTTGTGACTGACTAAATCAAATACTTGTAATATTGAAAAATTAAAATATCTTGGTTATCCTTAATTTCCAGCAGAAATATCATAGAAGAAAAATGGGTATTTTTATAGTAGTTCACATAACATTCCTACCCCAAATCTATTATCATATTCGAAAAAGACGTTTAATTCTAAGATAATTTTCTTTGATTACATTACCGTCGGTAACGTATAATAACAGAGATAGCAAGTGCCAAGTCTTTCTTTATTTAATTCCATTAATCTTCCTTTCATAAATAGCCATGCACGTACATTCCCGTATACGTCACGCACCCAATCAAAAGCCAATTAAAATTAATTGTAGTTTCTGCTTTTACAATTCACGGTTATTTTTTCCCAATCAGATTCACGTTGAGGGTCCACCTCCCAAGCCTACTCGAATTTGGGATTGTAGTTCGGAATAAGTTAAGAAATAACAGTGATTCCCTCATATGGTGAGAGTCTGATTACGTAAAAACACCGTGAGTTGAGTTAGGTTAGGTTAGGTTAGGTCAGGATAGGATAGGTCAGGTCATCCAAAAAATGGTTAGGTTTATTTGTTTTTCCAGTGCTTTTTGGTGTGTTTTGTATTCACTTGGCCATGATTTTTGTCGGAAAATGCTTGTTTCTCTCCCCCACAAAAAACTCTGCTCCCAACAGGATCCCCATTCTTATTGGGGTAGAAGTGGGGGGGCGGGGGGGGGGGACGATAACTAAAAAAAATCAGGCAATTTCCAACGGAAATCAAGATCGGAACCAATCAAAACACACAAAAGAACAGTAGAAAAACCGTTTTGACTTTCTAACAGTGTTGTGTGAACTACTATAAATTTACCGAAAAAATGTTTTAGAATTGTCAAAACATTACGAAATACACATTAATAACAACGAGAGAAAGACCGGTGCTTTACAATAAATTCACCTTTCCGTCCTCTTTCATGCCTGCCCACTACAGGTGATTTATGACTGAAGATAGAGAAGAATAATGTTAAGTAAAAAGTTAAGTAAAAAGTTGTTGTATCGTTTTTTAGGTATCATTGCGTTTACACACCGTTCATTCCTACCACTAATCTATTATCATATTCGAATAAGACGTCTAATTATAAGATAATTTTCATCTATTACATTACCGAGGGAAATGTATAATAACGGAGATAGCTTATCCAAAATTTTCTCTATTTTCTTCCATTAATCTTCCGCCATTATCGTCTGCCTCTCCTCCAACACTGCGTGTCTCCTGTGTCTCCTTCATAAATCATCACGCGCATGCGTTCCCGTACACGTCACGCGGCCAATCAAAAGCGTTTTTGTTTTTGAAACCATTTAAAATGATTTTTGGTTTTAATTCGCGGTATATTTGGCCCAATCAAATTCGAGTTTTATTTTGGGTCTCTCATATTTCGAAATTCAAGTTCAGTAACTTCAGTTCTGACCATGGCACTCTGCGAGTTTTGGGGAAAAAAACGAAGAAACTGTAGCATTTTTCGATTGCATGTTGTTCTTCCAACCTCAGTAAAGTGTACTGAGAGCAAGACTGAATGTAAATATCGCAAAGACCAACATATGTGGCGTTGTGTAAGAATCTCAGAATCCAACGACGAACAAGAACCAGGCCAATAAGGTAAGAAATAGGTGATTCCATCATATGGCGAGAGTCGGTTAGGTTAGGTTAGGTTTTTCTAGTGTTTCTTGGTGTATTTTGCCATGATTTTTTTTTTCAGAAAACGTCCAACGAAAAAAATTAAAAAACCCGGCTAATTTCCGCCAGAAATGAAGGTCATATTCGGTCTAAACACACAAATACACTAGAAAATAAATTTTTTACTTTCTAACAGAGAACGGTAGGATGCTTAAGGTTAAGTTGGTTAGGTCAAGTTCTAATATGTTCTGTGCATTCTCGCTTCCATTTATCTATTTAATAAATTGAAAATTATGTTTCCATAAAGTTTTGTACTATTCTATCAAATCCTTCTGGTGTTAGTCTAAAAAAACTACCTATCGTCCAAATAACACCTGTGGAAACTATGAAAGATATCCATGAGTAACTTCGGCTGTTAACCGTCTCCTGCACTAATACCTTTGTTAGTGATTACCGTGCATGTACTTTACTGAGTGTTCACCATTTTTCCTAAGATTGCTGGTTATCAGGTGTCAGTGTTCCAGAGTATTGCCATATTCAAATATTTGAATAAAAATAAAGGTACACTACAAATAAGCAAATAAGCATATAAAATTATAAGTACTGTAGTATATATAGGAATTGTTACCTTGGCTACAGTGTCAGCTGAGAGGCCAGGAGGAAGGTGAAGCTCAGGCAGTGTCAACTCGTTCTGGTTCTCATCCGCCATTAATCTCCTATCTGTAAATATTATTAAATATTTCACGTGCTCAAGAACTACAGGGTGTAAATTATTTTATGTGTGCCTGATATATAGGTATCAGAGGACAAATAATATAATGCAGACTTCCACACCTTTGTGCCACACCAAGATAATGACGGAAAATAAGAGGTATGGATTGTGCTTCATGGTTATATTACGGAGAAATTGTAACTATTTATCATTCAAAATTAACATAGTTACCTGATACTATTAATAGTAAGCTGTGGTATTATTGCAGTCTATTGTATATAAATTTTAAATGTACCCATAAGGAGATTATAAAGTCAATATACAATTTTTATAATATGGATATAATAACAGGTGTTGAATTTTTTTTCGCAGGAATGAAAAAAATATTCGAGTTTTATCATTAAGCTTTTAATAATAATGTACAAGAAGTAAATTGTGCGTACGTTTGTAAATATTGAAATAAAACTTAGGTATCTTTTTGTTAAATACTGTAGTTTTCTAAGGGCTATCTATTGGTTTCCCGTTGTTGATGACCATCTACAACAGCTACAGAGACTTAGGATAGGTGAAGTTTTGTACAGTATTCAAATTGCGAATGGCTTCCACTTGACTATACTGTACACTGTACATATATACGAATCAAAATATTTCACTACACAATGGATATAGAATCCCTAGAAAGAATTCAGAGGAGAAAGACAAGTCTAATCCCGGGCATTAAGAACCTTGAGTACAGAGACAGGCTTAATTTGCACGGGTGACGGGTACCGTTGGGGTCATCTCGTACCCAAGACAACTCGTACCCAAGATAACTCGTACCCAAGACAACTCGTACCCAAGATAACTCGTACCCAACTCACGAGATGAGTCGTACCTAAGATTACTTACACCCAATTCAAGAGATAATCCATACCTATTAGTATATATACCATGCATTTTTGCTTTATCTATGATTACAAAAAAAAATATGTAAATAATGTAGGAAAGTGCAGTTTAATAGGGAAATGTAATGCAGTCTTTAAAATAGTTGCATCTCATTACATAAGTATGTTATTCCAGCACACAAACATTGCACTACAAGTACATATTTCACACTATGTGGTTTAGAATAACTTTATTGCAATTTATAGAATTCAGGCTAATGGATTTGGCAGTTTCAATTTATAAACTGGGCGATGTAAACGTTTAAAATGGCCATAAGTCAACAAAATATGGAAAAGCATAAAAACGTAACGACATGTGTCACCCAATATTAACGCTCTTCCTCGCGCGCAGACGTATTTACTCTTATTATTTCTTTTTAAAGTTAAGCTCCAATAAACACTTTTTTAAACACATTGCTATTCATGTATTAAAATCAACCTTGTCCACATTTCCATTCTGGATCTACATGATATATATATATATATATATATATATATATATATATAAAATGGGTACGAACTGTCGTAAATTGAGTATGAGTTATCTCGTAATTAGGTACGAGTTGACATGAATCTGATGGGAACAGCATCCAATTTGCACTCTCGAGAGAGATGTAAAGTGAGGGGCAATGTGATCGAGGTGTATAAATGGAAGTCAGGGCTAAACAAAGGGGACATAACAAAGGTACTCAAACTATCCAACCAGGAACGAACTCGTAACAATGGTTTTAAATTAGACAAATTTAGATTTAGGCGCGATATAGGTATACTTTGGTTTGGAAATAGAGTAGTGGATGAATGGAACATGTTATCAAACATCATCATTAACTCGAATACGCTGAATAGCTTCAAACATAGGTTGGATTGATGTATGAGGAATAGGGGTTGGGAAATGGGACTGCCCAGTATGGGCCAATAGGCCCGCTGCAGTTTCCTCCATTCTTATGTTCTTAAGCTCTGCTGGGGGGATATGGGCAGGGGTGGATGCAGAAATAACAAGGCGGGGGCAGTCCAAGAAGTTGTGGGTGGGGGAACAGGCCAAGCACGGCGAGCCTGCAGTGGACGTCTCCCCTACAACTACGCATCACATTCCAACGTGCCGTCGCCTAGCAACCAAGCGAGAGCTGTCCCCAGATGGTACGGTTGCTTAGCAACGAAACTAGTCACCGGCAACTTTCTGGGTTTTCCCAACATGATTCATAGAGGACTGGCGGCTGCTGCTGGGTATATAAGCTCTGTCTCTCCATTGAGATTCATTCTGCCCATCTTCCTGAACAAGCAACAACTCCTCCAGCAAGCTCCATGCTGTTAACATTCATTCAACCAGGAGGCCAGCAACAGGCAACATCTTCTCTAACGAAGCTCCTGCACATCTACCTCCTTCAACACGCTACTCACCGAACGTCTTCTACTGAGCAGCCCCTCACCAGACGGCACCTCCAGCACCAGACTGTCTATCATATAACTTATATATTATACAAGAAAACCACATTAGAGTTTCCTTCCATCCTGAGTGCTAGACAACATTAATATCTCGATACCCCTACAAGCCCATCTCAATAACATCGTTGTTCATCTGGTATTTGGTTTCCCTGTTTACATCTCCTATACTGAGTACTTTACATTTGGCCACATTGAATTTAATCTGCCATTTTTCAGACCATTCAAAAAATTTGTTTAGATCTTCCTGTAGTTTTGAAGAGTCCTCGTCAGATTTAATTACACGCCCTATTTTAGTGCCATCAGCAAATTTACCTATGTTGCTGTCTACGCCGATATCTATTCCGTTTATGCATATAATAAATAATAATGGTCCGAGTACTGAGCCTTGCTGAACTCCACTAGTAACGTTGCTCCAATGAGATTTAGTGCCGTTAATGCTCACGCTCTGTTTCCTTTCCTCTAACCACGCCCTAATCCATTTTAGAATATCTCCTTTAATGCCATGAGCCTCCACTTTTCTTATTAGTCTTTCATGGGGGACTCTGTTCGAAAGCTTTGCTAAAGTCGAGAGATACCCTGCCAATAGGTGCTGTCGTTGGATAGTAAAACGCACGGAATCACTGTTGTAACAAGCAGGCAAGGTCGGTAATCTTATATTAAAGTTATTTTAAACATAGATCATAAGGAGCTATCTTTGATAATAATAATTTTATACAGACAGTATACAAGTATACAAGTGGTAAAAATAAAAATAGGATGAGAGTTTGTTTGCCAGGAGCTGGGGTGGGGGATATAGTTGACAGGATGGACAATATCTTGTCTGGTACTGGGAACAAACCCATTATCTGCCTTCGTGCAGGAGGCAATGACATTGGCCGGTGTAGGAGTGAGAAGCTTATAGTGGACGTCTCCCCTGCAACTGCGTAGCCGCATTCCAATGCCACAGTATCCTAGCAACCAGCCACCTGCTACGTCTTCCCTAGCAACCAAACGAGCGGCCCCGGGGGGGGGGGGCGTCACCAGATGCCACAGTATCCTAGCAACCAGCCACGTCTTCCCTAGCAACGGAGTCGAGAAACCGGCGACTTCCCACGGTTTACTTCCGGCGGCTGTGTATATAAGCTCTGTCTCTCCATTGAGATTCATTCTGGCCTCGGTTCCTGAACACGCAACACCTCCTCCTCCGCCGCTGCCTGGCGGCCCTCGCTTCTCCTCCATCTGCCTGGCAGTCCTCGCTCCCGTCAGCAAGCATGGCGACCCATCAGCTGTCCTTCTCTGAGCGTCCTCACCAACCAGCTCTCTCATTCTACTCTACGTTCCTGAACACGCAACACCTCCTCCAAGCAAGCTCCTCGCTGTCCCGCTCTCATTCAACCTGGAGGCCAGCAACAGGCAACATCTTCTCTAACGAAGCTCCTGCACATCTACCTCCTTCAACACGCTACTCACCGAACGTGTCTACTGAGCAGCTCCTCACCACACGGCATCTCCAGCACCAGACTGTCTACCATATTGTCATGATCGTGATAATGGCTAACCTGAAAACCTTAAGGATTCATATTACGCTCAAACGTCCACAAAACCTTCTAAGTCCCCCAGTGGAAACGTCCCCCGTTTTCTCTGTTTCCCCGTCTTTGTTTATAGGGAACTTTGAATATAATCCACGGATTTCGTAGCAGACGCTATGTGTTGGGTCCTGTTGCCATCCAACCCTTTGTAATCAATTTAATTTTGCTTTTGATAGCTGAGTCAGAGCATTGTTAGTAAAGATAATAGTAGGGAATGAAACTGAGTTCATAGTCTCAGTTTCAACGTCAGAGTGTACAGTAAATTAATTCATCGGAATAGAAGTAGGTGGACTCCCTGGCCTATTTTGAGTGAGGGCCCCGCGGGCATTTCTACCGTTAGTGAGTGCCCGTCCCTTCACCCATACAGGTCCCTAACGCAGCCTAGGCCGTGTCTGTAGCGTGGATGTTGTATCCACTATGTCTGGGGAGATGTCCGAGGTCCAGTAGGATCAGTTACCTTCGTGAGACCCAGCCGTCAGACACTTCAGACTACCTATGGCCCCCATAGCTGGCTCGTCTGGCCCTAACGCTCGGCCTGCGAGGTGACCCCGGATCACCAAGCCACACACCACGACCAGCCCCCATCATTGGTAGATGAGTGTCTAACTCCGTAGGGCTATTTGTGTGGTGGGATTAATCCACTGGGATCTCCAGAGTTCGTCGGAAAGTACTCCATGGTGGCTGGACCCCATGGCTGTTGCTTGAGTATCACTCCTGACGACTGAAGGTGGTAGTGGCAGTTGCCCTGGTCTTTATGGTGCTAAGTGACTATAAGAGTTGGAAGTGTTATTGTGTATGTCCACCCAGTAGGGTTGGAAGTGTTATTGAGTATGTCCACCCAGTAGTGGTGTGAGTATGTTGAGCCTGAGGGCCTAGTACTAGATTTCGTCTGTTGGTACAAATAAATTCTTTCTCTTAATTTCATATTCATGTTTAAATATATTTTGTATTTGTATAATTGTGTCTATTATTTACCGTTATTTCTTCCCTATTGCTTGATACTATCATTACATCTACCCGCGAGCCTCCTCTCGTCACGCTACCAATGGTAATAAGTATGAGAGTAAAAGGAATTGTTAATGACACACAGAGGCCCTCATAAATGGTGGCAGCTCAGGCCCTCATAATATAACATATATTATATAAGAAAACCACCACCTTAGAGTTCCATCCATCCTGAGTGCTAGACAACATAATATCACGAAACCCTACAAGCTCCTTGATAAGTTTAAGACAGCTATAGAACGTATTAGGGT